AATTTAAATCATATAATATACAAATAAAATAAAATAAAAAATGATAAATAATTAATTTTTTACTGTACAACTAAGATAAAAAGAAAGAACACTTATTTTATGGTACGTGAAAGTTTAGTTTTTACTAAATAAATACAGACAAATAATATGTACCCAAAAAAAAAAAAATACAGACAAATATGCAATTAGAATGACGGCCATAGATGTTCGTAGGTAGAAATATTTAATTAGTCCGATATGCAGCCACATCACCAACCATAATCAAGGATTGTTTCTCTTCCCTTATGTAGTATATAACTATATATCCACCGATTCCACATCAACCCTCTCCCGCATCTTATTCCGGCGCAGATGGAGAACTTCAGGGAAGGCGAATTGGACGAACCCATTTTAAACTACTTGCAGCCACCACCAGCAGAACCAGAACCCAACAGCCGCCACGATGAAGTGGACTCCCAGCTCGAGAAAGTGTTAACAAACACGGAATTACCATTCTTCAAGCGTCTCAGGTTGGCCACCTGGATTGAACTGAAGCTCCTCTTCCGCCTGGCTGCTCCGGCGGTGTTTGTTTACTTAATCAACAACTTCATGTCATTATCCACCCGTGTCTTCTGTGGTCACCTAGGCAACCTCCAGCTCGCCGCCGCCTCGCTTGGCAACAGCGGCATCCAACTCCTCGCCTACGGCCTCATGGTACAGTACTGCACAAAATTCTAAAAAACAGAGTTCCGTTCTGTACTTATCACACTGTTTTTCATTTTCCTCTGTTTTGTTTTTGCAGTTAGGGATGGGAAGTGCAGTGGAGACTCTATGCGGACAAGCATACGGTGCCCACCGATATGAAATGCTCGGAATATATCTCCAGAGAGCAACCATCGTCCTCACACTCACCGGAATTCCGTTGACCGTCGTCTACGTGTTGTCCAAGCCAATCCTGCTGTTGCTAGGAGAACCGACGGAGGTTGCATCTTACGCCGCCATGTTCGTTTACGGTTTGATCCCACAAATCTTCGCCTACGCAGTGAACTTCCCCATCCAGAAGTTTCTCCAGGCACAGAGCATTGTGAATCCGAGCGCCTACATATCGGCGGCGACGCTGGTGGTGCACCTTCTGCTGAGCTGGGTTGCGGTGTACAAGCTGGGCCTGGGCGTGTTTGGGGCGTCGATGGTGCTGAGCCTGTCGTGGTGGATAATCGTTGGGGCCCAAATTGTGTATATCTTGATGAGCGAAAAGTGTAAGAACACCTGGGCTGGGCTTAGCCTTCGGGCCTTTTCCGGGCTCTGGGATTTCTTCCGACTGTCGGCGGCGTCCGCCGTCATGCTCTGCCTTGAGACATGGTATTTCCAGATACTTGTCCTGATCGCCGGTTTGCTCAAAAACCCAGAAATTGCATTGGACTCCCTTGCCGTTTGGTAAGATATTTAATTACCAAAATCATTTTTATTAGTATTAAACTTTTCTTATTATACTAGTAATTTTATTTTATTTTTTTTAACATGAAATCAATTAAATTTTGATACATAAAAACAATTATGCCTAAGAAAGTAATTACAACCCTATTTTTTCTTTTTTGCTAAATAAATTAGTATGACTAACATTACATATTGCAGAGTATACTTACAGAAGTTAAAATTCAAAACCTTTACTTTAAAATCAAAATTTTAAAATTAATAAAATATCAATTCAGTCTAAGTTATCTTTAATTATATCAATATTATTGAACTCTTGTTAACTTGTTAATATATAATGTGTTATAAATATACCTACACATATATACGTAGCTTAATAATTAATTACATCATAATTAATCTTAGAATCGATTGTTGAATCATATTAGAGCAATCAGCTGAGGATATTAAGCGACAAAAAGAATAAAATCAGATTACAGTTCCTGGAAATTATGCATGAGAATATTGTTCCATTTTAGATTGCGTTGGATATAAGTAGTAAACTATACATTTCTTTCTCTCAAACAGGCATCGATCCAACTTCTCCAGAGAAGATGCTTCATTAAAAAGTAAAAATAAACATATATATATATATAGGCTCTTTACCTCTTTTATTGTTCCCTAAAAATGGATTAACATGTTGATTTAAATTCATCCATAATCTTACTTTACAATAAAATTTCACAATAATCACAAGACTAAATAAATAAATATTATTTCACACATTTTGTGTGGTGTACAGAAAGTGATTTACAATTATAGATTGCGATGGTTCTATTGTGTGATGACATATACCTAAGTTCTCAGAAAATCATTCATTTGAAAGTTGTTCTTGGAATGTATGCAGCATGGCAATAAGTGGGTTGCTGTTCATGGTTTCAGTTGGGTTTAATGCAGCTGCAAGGTTCGTCCTCCGTCTTCATTCACTCTTGGGACCACTCCAACTGTTCCTTGGCACTTTCATTTCATGTCTTTATTGATATTAATTTGAAATTTGATTCATTTGGTTCATCAAAAATGATTTTCTAAAAATGATAGATAACATGACTCATAAACGTGCATATTGTTTATAATCTCTGAAGCTGTTTGTTTTTGGTGAATATATTCACGAATCACGAGTCATATCATACTTGCAACCAACTGGAAATCTTTTTCTGCGAACCAAATGCATTGATGTTGTCTCTGTTAAAACAGTGTGAGGGTGAGCAATGAGTTGGGAGCCGGCCACCCCAAGTCGGCAGAATTCTCTGTCGTCGTTGTGAATGTGATTTCCTTCCTCGTCGCTGTAGTAGAAGCTTCTGTTGTGCTATCTCTGCGTAATGTCATCAGCTACGCCTTCACCAGTGGAGAGACTGTTGCAAAGGCCGTCTCAGAGTTGTGCCCTCTTCTCGCTGTCACTCTTCTTCTCAATGGGGTTCAGCCTGTGCTGTCTGGTATGAATTGTCAAGATTTATAGAGCTAAAGATAAATAGTTCTGTCTTTTTGTGACTAATTGCAAAGGAATTTGGCTGAAGGGGTGGCTGTTGGATGTGGATGGCAAGCCTTTGTGGCATATGTAAATGTGGGATGTTACTATGTTGTTGGGATTCCTTTGGGATGTGTTCTTGGTTTCAAGTTTGACCTTGGCGCAAAGGTTAGTGTATAAAAACCCAACCCTTCCATGCATCACTTTCCTGAGAAAATTATGTAATGAAAATGGAATTCTAAAGGATTCACATATTTGAGCAGGGAATATGGTCAGGGATGATAGGAGGAACAATGATGCAGACCATCATTTTGCTGTGGGTCACATTTCGAACAGACTGGAATAAGGAGGTAAGTTGCCTTCTCATTCATCCATGAAACTTTCTTTCTTCCATTTTACCAGACAAAAAGTACATAGTTTCCATCTTAATGAATCTAGTCTAGGTTTTATCAAGCTTTCATAGTAATTGTCTGATGTGTACATAACTCATCTGGTGGCCATGGAGGTTTGGTTTTCAGGTGGAGATAACGAGGAAGAGGTTGGATAAATGGGAGGACACAAAGGAGCCACTCCTTACAGACTGACTTATCTTGAAGAATAACAGAAAACTTGGGCATGGCAATTTGCAAGTAGTAACTCAAATACAGAAATGAGCGAAAATTTTGAAACGCCCCACCAAAAAGACAAAAATGATGGCTGATAAAAACAACCAAGTATCCATGCTCAATCATGATGGTTTGATATGATAAAATGCAATGATTAATGCGCAATGATCTTATCAAATGATCAATGTCATTATGAGACAAAATTCTATCCCATTTTCTGTGACTTTTGTTTGGATTCAAATGCTTTCAAAAAAAAGTGCCAAAGCTGGCGGACATCATATCAAATATAGATGTTATTCCACTCAAAACTAGTTAAAATATCAATTAAAAATCTCAAGAAATGATGGAGATCAGGAAAGGAGACACAAAAATTGGTGCGCACCTTGCAGAACATTGATTTATGTATTGGGTTGCTACTGGAACTGGAACTACTAGAGTAAAGTAGTTTCCCAAAAAGTCATGCAATAAATATGTCATTCCATACGAGTCTTCTCACTGTTGGTCTTTGGTATCGTAAGTCTATAGAAATCAACATCAATCTACCTCCAATCGATCTGATTTACTTCCAAAGTCAGAGCCGTTTGAATTGTCTTTTCTTGGTGAGGCAGCATTTGATTTTATCATGTATTTGCATGTCCTGGAATATAGTTGCTAAAAACCCATCAGATAATCATAGTACAAAAACAAGAGTTAGAAACTAACAAAAAACAAATTAGCAGCATATGTAGAGCAATAAGAGCACTGATTTTGAGGAAATATCATTATAGACAACATTTGAAGCCAGAAGAATGCAGAGATTAATGCATGAAGCAGAACATCATGGTAACAAGTTTAACAATTGGGAATGCAGTGAGCAAGGGTGGAGCATTAATGCCAATGGTAGACACTAGTTACCATTCTGAATCAACAGTCCAGTAATGATTTTACTACAACACCACTCTCACAATCACATGTTTTTCTGCAGGACACAACTTATCTGGACTTGAATCCTCTCTTTTAGAGATTTTTTGCTTGTCAACAACAGTGTCCATGCAACAGAACTGCACTCACAAACTCTACTTTATACACGATGCAATTTTTTTTTTCCAGACAACTACTGCTACTCATGACAACACATATGACATTAATATGGAATATATAGACCTTACAGATCATCTATTTAGATCTGACTCTAAAGTAGGGTTCGAAACCGATTGAAAGCACATTTTTTTTTGGACATTCAACATGAATGGCATTCTGCTCAGAGGTATTAAAATGAAATCGATATGCAATGTTACTTCTTTAAAAATGTAGTTAAAAAGATATTCAATGTTACTTGAATCTTAAATTCCATTAAAGGCTAGTAGAATGAGAACATTACGCGTCAAGAGCTTCTGCTTTTCTTTTGATTTCACCAGACCAAACTACTGGATCAGCATCTTTGGGCAAGGAAGCCTGCTCCTGGGATTTTTCTTGCAGCCACTTCTCTGCTTTATTGCACTCGTCCGTGACCTGCAAAAGAAGAACACAAGAGCATGACTTGGTAGACTAATCAATAATCAATACTGACACATTTGCCACCTAATTAACATAAATAAGTATACCGCATCTCTCTTGATGGACGGGAGTGATCCTGCAGCCATTCGATAATCTGCTATACACTTTACTAGATCCCTTGTTGCTTGCTCTCGGGCCTCTTCATCTTTATACCGGTTTTCAATAGGATCCACAAGCTGAGAAGAATTTGAATTGTATTAATTATTTTGATTAGCAGTTCAAACTCAGGTTCATTATAAACAAATAGGCAATTAGAATTACCTTTTTAAGATCCTCAAACTTCTCTGTGTAAACACTTGCAGATTCATCAACTCCATCGTCATAAAGCCATTCCTCTGTCTCTGCAAGTTTTCTAGAGATCTCTTCCCTCTCTGACTCAGTGGCAAATCTCCGATATGAATTTAAAATCTAATCACATAAACGTGTGACTTTATGAAACAGCTCGAAAAAAGGAGAATCCAGAAGAAAGCACTGGAACTTGAAGAAAAAAGTGATAACTTAAACCGTCATGTAAGAATATAAAGACAGTGTTGGAGCTGGCTGACTGGCTCAAGTGAAACTAATATATCTTCTGATAAATTTGCTTCACAGAGTATATTTTACTGAAGGAATGGTTATCAGCATGATTTGATATCACTAATAATTGTTATTCAAATCCAGGAGGATATAACTTCTTTATGTGAATCACAGTCATACCTTATCACGCATCTCATAAACATGTGACTCTAGGGCATTTTTCCTCTCTTTGGTTTGCTCCATCTTCAGGTCCTGTTGCGTTAACCAGTGTTCCTTCTCTTCAGCTTCAGAGAGCTCAGCCTCTGTCATTTTCCCATGCATGCTTTCAGAAACTGGAATTTCCATCCTTTTGACAGCCCTTCCTTTTCTCTGTCCACTCGCCTGCACAAGTATATTGAATTAAACATCTGCACTTTCCAAATAGCATATTTGTCTATTTATTGAGATGTACTCAATTTTACAACACAAAATATAAAGAAAACAATAACTATCTTATGAAAGCAATCAAATGTGTGGGTAATTGTTGACCAAAGGAGACAAAATTTAAAGTCAAAAGCACAGAAAAAGTAAGAATTACATTTCCCTCTTTGTTCTCATTCACATTTGTTTTTCACTGAAATCGAAAAAATTTGAATGCGAACCCTGAATATGAAGAAGCATGAACTTAGATGCTTATTAAACTGAAACTTACAGCAGCAATGGATGGATTGTCTGCATGAGCAAGATTGCTGACTTCAGAATCATTTACTGCAGAGGATGTATCATCAAATTTGCTTTCTGCCTCGTCTGACAGAGAGTTATCAGCATCTTCCTCTATTAACTGATGCAGTAAGAGATTAGCAATAGTTAGTTTAAATATTTGAACAAGACTACAATTTTAATGCACTGGCAGAATAACCTGGAAATTTACTTACTGTGGCTGAATCGATGGTGACAATTCCATGAAGATTTAGTGCAACTCTAACCTTAACTTTACCCATTTGTGAGTGGGACTGGAAAGGTCCAATCTGAACATGCAGAGCATAAGTTCAAGACCAAATAATAATAATAATAAAAAAATAATAATAAAGGAGTTTTAAACCAAATAGTCAAAATAAATAAATAAATAAACAAAATAAAATAGTCCACAAAAAATTGATAAACCATTTAAAAATAATTTTTTGGAAATTGCAGCCATCTAAATGAAGCATATCAATCTAGGAATCATACCGTATAAGTACTAATTTGAGGAGATATGCCAACAGGCAACTCATTTGGGTTAGCATAAAATGTCTCCATGTAGAATGTGTTAGTTCTATGCAAAGTAAGAATCTTGACACTTGGAAATGGGTGCCCTTGTGGGAAAAGCATGCCATTTGAAAGTGTGCAAATCGGACCTTTGTCAGATGACAATCCAATTGATAAAGGAATGGAATCTTGAACCTGCAATTACAGCATACACATATTTCAATTAGAGTCTTGTTAAACAAATTAGCTCTTATCTAAACAACACTATGCAGAAACTACAGGCATCTAAAATAAACTCCACTTTCATCTACAGGTTCCCAGAGAAAACTCAATAAGAAAGAGAATTCTTGATCCTCTGAAAGTACTCTATAAAGGAGGTAAAAAAAGACATTTAATATAGATACTTAATGACTTCCCTAATCTTTTTCTCTTTCCCTTAGGTATATATCAAGGAAATGCAACAACTCCTAAAAAGCTTCAACCTCCAAGAGAGACTTCAGCAAAGAAAATTTCTTGAAGGAAAAAAAATAGGGATTGATTCCCAAAGCAGTAAAGCTCAAAATACAATGAAATCTCATAATTACCCAATGCAAAGTTCACGGAAGTAAATTGAAGAGAGAATTCTAATAATAATTCACGGTTGCCACATCTTTAATGCAACACACATACAAGAAAATCAAGACAGCAGGGAGAAGCCTCAAAGATCATCTCCATAAGTCTCAATGATAGAAATGTTCTTTATTAATAAAGATAAAGGCAAAAGGAAAGCAACATGCAGTTCATACAAGAAAATACAAACCTCATACTCTTTAACACGGAATATTGGGCTAAGCATTGCACACTGAAGAGCACAACCACGAGTGACACACTCACTAGCATTAATTGTACGGCTTGGCTCTTTTTTGAATATAGAAGCTAATATTCTCGTAATGGCTGGAATTCGTGATCCTGACCCAACAAGCTCCACTGACTGGATTTTCTCCACACTCAGACTAGAATCAGCCAAAGCCTTATGACAAGGAACACTAATCCTGTCCAATAAATTAGATGACAGCTGCTCAAACTCCTCTCTCTTGATAAAACCCTTAACATCTTTCTCATCCATCAAACATTCTATATTAAGTGGTGCTTCTGCATTTGCACTCAAGACCTTCTTCAGCTTCTCACATGCGGCCCTCAACCTAATAGATGCCTTGATATTTGTATGGACATCAATTCCATACTGCTCCTTAAATTGGGAAGCAAAGTAATTGAACAGAACTTCATCAAAATCCCTTCCTCCTAAGCTACCATCAGAGGCATGAGAAATTATCTTCATGCGTCCACTTTCAAATGATGCAACACAGACCTGTGTGTCACAGTGACCAATATCTACAAACACAGTATAAGTTGGACCAGCATCTAACAAATCAGTCTTGTAGATACCATATCCAAGTGCAGTGGCCGTACAATCATGCAACAATCTCAATGGCTTCAATCCAGCAATAGTTGCTGCATCCAAATAGGCACGTCTTTGCAAATCTGTGAAGTAAGATGGAATTCCAATCACACAATCTGTAACTGGCATATTCAAATTCTTCTCAGTTATCTGCTTCAAATGTGAAAAGAGCATCCCCAAAATCTGTACAGGGGTGAATGTATGGGCTTCCCCCATAAACTGTAAACGGATCAAAATTCCACCATTGCGACTTTCAAACGTTTCGAAAGGAAACAATTTGAGATCATTTTGAACATCAGGCTCCATAAACTTGCGGCCAATCAATCTCTTAACCTGCAAAATTGTGGATTTTGGATTCATGGTTGCTGAAGCCACTCCAGCCGAGCCCATGAATCTTTGCTTCTCACCAAATGACACCACAGCCGGTGTCTCTCGCTTTGATTCATCATTCAGTAAAACTTCAATCCCACGATCCTTTGCAACTGCAATTACACAGTTCTCATTCCCAATATCAAATCCCACCACACTCATCTTGACTATTCCAGAACACCAACTTGAATACTGAACAAAAAACTAAACCTGCATTTATCCAAATTTCTCAATTATCAATTCATCATATCCAATCCCTAGAGAATTGCTAACACTTTACCAAATTCAAAAGCACACAGACCCATTAATTGTCAACATCAACAAAAAACCACCTAAAGCAATCAAATTTATCAATTTTATATAACTCAAGAAAAACCATAAAAAAAAAAAAAAAAACCATAAAAGTGACGATTATAAGCCAAAAATGCTTAAGAAAACCCTCATTAAATATTCAAAATGAACTATACTGATTAAACCAAACACCACAGACCAACAAACAAAGAAAAAGAAAAAGGAAATTTAACATATTAACCCAGTTACCTCATATAAGTTTCAGATGAAAGTTATTAACTTTCCGATTAAAAATTGCAAATTTTCTGTTAATTTTCCCGCATTTTCCCGGAAACCAAACAAAGGATCGAGGATATTGACAAAGACCTAGTGAAATTAAGAACCATAAAGCATCATCGACCTCAAGAATCGACAGCGGATACTCTCTGAGGATCTCTCCAACCTCCGCAAACGAACGATTCGCACAATGGCAGACCGATACAAAACTAAAGGCGAAGGCTTTTGAGGGAAGTAGAGATGTGTTCGTCCGTTGAAGCAGTGAAGCGAGGAAAACGAGTTTTTGATGCTGCTAAAAGACCGTGCCCAAACAGTGCCTTACTTCTTGCTGACTTTTCCAGCGTGGACACTTCAATCCACGTCATCACCTAAACACTTAATTTTTTTTAACAATACAGTACAGTAACAATGCCACTATTATAAATTAACCATCATAACATCATAATATGTTATTACGTATAATTTTATGAATAAATTTGTAAGTAAAAATAATTAATTATATAATCATGATATTATAATAATAGTATATTTAATTTTTTATTAAAAAATGCAGCCTCTAAATCATTTAACCACTCATGCCAAGATTTTATAAAAATTATATTATATAATTATAATATTAAATGATATTATAATTTTATAATTATAATACATTATTATATAATTAGTTTTTTATTTAAGTTTTACTTAATAATATTATATTATACATTATTATTACTATAAATTTATAATATTGTATGTTATTATAAGTTTATAATAATAACATTTTCCTAAATATTTCATGATTGGTCATATGTGAATTAGTGTTCATTTATCTTTTTAATTTTATTTTTCTTTTATTATAAAGAAAAAAACATTTTCCGAAATTCCATTTATTAGTCTAAACATAACCTTAAGTGTTGGATTTATTAGTGAATAAGTTTTATCTAGTAAATAGTAAAAAAAATCTAGATTTACACGTATTCATAAATGAATAATAATTAAATTACAAATATAGTACATATCAGTTGTACCTCAAAAAAAAATTAAAATTTATTTTAAAATTTAAAATTTTATCTTATTAAATATTAATATTTAAATTTGAAAACTAATTATATATTCTAATATAATCAATTTGTAAATCTAAAATCAACATTTAATATGATTAATTTTTTAATTTTAAATTAAATTTTAATTAAATAAACACTTTTTTCTTAAATCATAATGTTTTGGACAGTGTAATGCGTTTCAACGAGTAAATTCAGTCAATTGTACAAGTAATCATTTAACACAACACTACATTATATACAAAAAAAATGGAAAAAACATCATATATCCCTCGTTTTTAATTACTCCCTAGATTCAGTCAAAATTTTTTTTACAATGGACTGATCTTTCACGGCTGGATTAATATTGATTATCTAATAATTGAAATTGACCGGGGAAGCTAAGGACAATTAGGACACTACGGCAACAAGGGTTCCTTGAGATGCAATATGGGATTCTTAAGTAATTCAGAAGACTCAACTTCAATCATCCAATGTGGTTGCTATGTTTCCAACATTTCACTTATGGAAAATAGGCAAAACCCATGTGAGGATGTCTCAGATCTCAATTGGGTCAATGATTTCTTCTTTATCTACTCGTTAATTTGAGTGGATCTGTTTATTAATGGGAAAGTTCATTTTAGTGCTCTGTTTTTCAGTTGCCTTTAAATTCCAAAGCTTAAAGCTTCAATCCTCGAGGATTCAAAATAAGAAAAGAAAGTAAATTAGAAGACAAGTAACCTTCTACATATTCATTTTAAGGTTGCTTTTTAAAGAAGCTCTAAGTATTAGAAATCTTATTTAAACTTTAGAAATTATTAAAAAAATTAAAAATATTTGTAAGAATAAAGAGTTATCTCATATTGTGTATATTGTATAAATTGTTATTATTAGATGGTAAAAAAAAAGGGTTTCAAGGTTTAATCTTTGATGATTCAAGTCCAAAAGAAGGAAAATTGAAGTAAAATTTGAGAATAAACTTTCCTAGTTTCATTTTAATGGGAAATTTTATTCTAATGCTCTTATTTTAATTGTCCTTCAAAAGCAAAGTTTGAAGTTTAAAATTTGAAAATATTGGAGTAACAAATCGAAGAAGCTTCCTATGTATTCACTTTCCATAGAAATTTTGATGTTAATATTCTGTTTTTTTGTTGCTCTACTATTCCAAGCTTAAACCTTGAGGATTGAAAACCAAAAGAATGAAAATTTCAAGGAAAAAAAAAAAAAGAAAGAAAAGAAAAGAAGTAACTTTCAATATTATTTCATTTGGTGATGCCAAATTTTCATAGCAAACCTTCAATCTAGCCACTTTAAGTTTCACATCTCTTCCCCTTTTGACATCTGATTTGTGAGTCGTATGATGGTCCTCACTTTTCCTAGATCCTATGTCGTCTATCTAATGGTTTGAACACCAGACAATGCCTTTTCATGTAAGAAAAAGGAAACATACAGCAAAAGCAAGAAAACCAAACAAGACATTAGACCCACAGAAAGGAGGATTGAATCCATGGCTATCAAGTGAATAAGGGAGGAGGAAGAGAGGCAATATTGGTTCGTTCACTGCTAAACAAGAGCTTCCAAGCTTTCAGTTGACTTAAGATCTTCTTGTAAAGACGAATTCTGGCTGCAGATAAACTGACCACCATGCTCTTCCTCAACTTCCTCATCCTCTTCCCAATCTTCACCTTTAATCTACAGAACCTAATCCTGAGGAACGATGGTTTCCTCAGGGAATCAGCCTGCTCCAGCACTTTGCAGATCAAGAACTGAGCTCTCCGGTGAATTTTCTCATCTGGGTCTTCATTATCCACCCTGGAATAGGCATATGATCTCCTCACACAAAGAGCCATTTTCTCTGGAAAATCAGGAAGAAAATGTGTTGATTATGGAGATTAGATTGCAGAGTATTGGGGCAGAGACAAGAAGATGATATGGGATTGAATCCAAATTTATAGAGAAAATTCAGAGACCGTGAAAGGTGGAGAGGTCGTACTGGTGATGCAGCTATGCATGTGCACCAATATTTTGGTAGGAAAATAATTGAGAGAAAATGAGTTTTCTTAATTAGCTGGACTTACAACAGCATGGTATGAAACTGACCTGCTTCCAAACAAACTTGACGAAAAAAGCATGCTATTGGTCACAATTCAAAGGCACGCATGAGGTAATATGAAGATTAAAATAAAACAGCATGCAAAAAACAGGGTTGCATGACCTAATTTTGCATGATCTGATTAATATAGACAAGATTAAATCATTTAATAATTCTTGGTTCCTTATCTAAACATTATTCTAGTTTATTTATCTAGAAAAAAGGAGACATTATTCGAGTTTATTTAACATGGTTTTTGGTTGTTTTTTTTCTTTATAAAAACAGGGGAAATTGATTTCCCTGAATTTGCACGGTCCAGCTGAGTATGGCCTGAAAATTCGGTCTCTGCAAAAAACAGTATTTTATTTTGTGGGGCCATTGTGTGATCTAGAGCTATAAAGTCAAAGGGGGAACACATGAGGCGGATGCCATTCCTTTAAAAATTGCTTTATTTTCCACCAGCATGATGGCATGAAGCATCCATGAAAATGAAGTTTTGAAAATTGAACAATTTAGAAACCCACGGAGGCAAGTATATGATTTGAAAAATTATTTTCTTTTTGGTCAAGCTTTAAGTTAGTATAATCTTATATCTTTACTAATAAGTCAAGTTGATAAATTTGAATATAAAAGTTAAAATTAAATATTCAAACTTTTGTAATACCAATCAACTAATTCTTAATATATAAAATTAATTTTTTATCGTCTTTTATATGAATACCTAAATGTAGTGACCATGAATTATGAAAGCGATGCAATGAGGATTTCAAGTTGCGTGGTTAGGCCGTTCTTTTCAGCATGAGTCAAGGGACTCAAACCTAACAATGACAGTTGCATGATATCTTCTGGAAAAAAGAAAAAAAGAAAGCTTCATCCGGTAGTCACTACAGAAACTAATTTAGAAATTGAGATTTCCATCAATTATTTAAGTAATTATATTGCGAGTGATGTAAAGTTTACATGTGAAGAGGATTAGCAATGAGACCAGCTACGAAGGCATAGTATATATGATTGCAAAAGATAAACAATATTTAGGCTTTTCTTACCAGTTTGTGTCATGTCAAAAGAAGTAAGCATGCATGCTTAGCCACATCACCCTGTACTGGTTCCCATTTCAAATCAGGATATCACAAGACCTAGACAGATATATCATTCAAATCCATGATTGATAGTCGATACAGAATTCAAATCCATGATTGATAGTCGATGCAGAATTAAAAACTCCAACCGCTTTCATTCCAAGGGTTTTAAAATCAAATGGATATATGGATGAGTGGCCTGCAAAATTCTGCTGTCAATGAACATGCAGAATATAACACTTACATAGTTGGTTCATGGGTCTGATCCAAGAGACATGTGTATAATGTATACAGAGATGTGTTTATATTCATGAAACAAAGATTTGCTGTTTCAAAAGGGTCATGTGGGACCTAACTAGCCTTTTACAACACAGCTATTATGTGCTGCAACACCATTGAACACATTGACAAAAAGTTATAGTGAACTAAGATACCTTAGTTGAGGAAACATCTGCTGCTGCTTGTCCCACAGATCTCCAAACTTTAAGCTTATAAGCATGTTCACCTCAGCACCAAATTCATCTAGGAAGTTCGTTGAACACATCATGACAAAATCTAGAAATCATGAGTCAATTCCCCCCTGCTGGAAGTAAAATAGATGGTCTTTACCAATTTTGGAGGTACTGGCTTCGTGTTCAACATGGGCTGTGGGGTTCTTAACCTGATAAATAACAGCCATAGAGTTATTAGAACACAAAATAACCTGATAAATAACAGTCATAGAGTTATTAGAACACGAGCAATTCCTTGTTTCTTGATATAATTAACAAGCAGAAGCAAGTTAGCAAAATGTTATAATAGTGCTACCTTAGAGGAATGGTAGAACAACAAGCCATGACTAGTTAATTGATGAATATATATCACATCTTACCATCATTTTTACAAAATAATATGGGATATGGAGCCTGAAATTGGATCGCATTACAGAAGACCAATTCAACCAAGAACATTTAGGATGTATGGGAAAGTGTTGGCAGCAGCATTATCACCAGTAAGCATTGAATCACATTGAGAGGAGTTCCTAGCATTCTCTGCCTTTGATAGAACCTGAACAAGCTCCCTGTTAAGAGTTTCTTGAATCCCCACCTGAAATACCCCTTGAGATAATCCTTCTTCATGTTTTTTTCCTTTTGTGAATCATTTTTTCCTTCTTAGGAGCAGAGAAACAACAAACAGATGTCCTGAAAATTAATCGGTGGTGGGTATACACAAGCAGATGATTTGGGTTCCTTTCATGTTCAAGAATTTCTCATAAGCATTCAACCTAATCGTCCAATCTGGTTCTTCTTCGAAAGAAGAAATCAAACGAATTATCCCTTTAGAAAGCCCCTTAGGGATCGAATACGAATCAATATCCATACTAAAACCAAACTTCTTTTTATATTCGCTATTTCGAAGAATTTCTTGAATTTTCTCGTCATAGGAATTTACCAGAGTTCGGGTCGGAGACATCTGCTCGGAACTTGACAAGCCTCAAACTTGAGCTCTTCGGTTTGAAGGAATCGAATTTTGAGTGAGACCCCTTTAGGGTTTTGGTTGAATGGAAGGTGGGTTGCAGAAATGGACACCATGGTCATTGTTTGAGATGTACAGCGCAACTGACGAATGTGAAAAGAGTCAAACTACAAATTATTTATTTTTCTTTTTATTAATATTTTTCTTGGCTACGGCATGTTTGGATTGTGTGCAACACGCATGCAAAAATTGTGACACAAGCTTTTGATTTTTATTTGTAGATGTTTCTTATAAAGTTATAAATGATTATAATTTATTAGAATATATAACTAAAATTATTATGTAGAGGTTAAAGATAAGTTCATTGTTAATAACAATTGTTTTTGTTTAATTGTTTTTATTTTATAATTTAATATAATTTAAATTATAAAACAAAATTTTTTAATTCATTCTTTCTCTTAAAAATGTATA